GTGGAAATTGTCACTTTAAATTTTGAGGCGATCTGTGCGCATGCGTAGTAGAACCCTCTGGGGGTGGGGGTGGGGTGTCCACTCTCTCAGGTCCCCCTTCTAGTCACCAAAATGGAGGTGCGCAGACAGCGAGAGACCAATGAACAGATGTGAAAAAAAAAAGAATGTCCACACCTTTATTTCCGTGGTTCTTTTAGGCATCCGTGGCTGCTCTGATCCTTCCCCCACTTGGTTCACCCAAGATGGAGGCTCTGGGAGCAGCTAAGCATCTTGAATTTGAAAGCAATTTTTTCTTGCTTCTGATAAATTTCCCTAGATTTAAGCCTTCCAACCTTCTAAATATTCCTTTATATGTGGTTCAGAGTTCTGGGACCATCCCCTGAGCCTGCTTGGTCTGGCATTCTGTGTTGTTGCTCACGGAGCATCTTATTGCACTTTAACCTGATCCGCCATCTTGTTTGTTCCAATTTGCTTTCTTGACTGCTGCTTCCTCTAGTGTTGTTGATAATGAATCTAAGCAAAATAAAGTCTTTGACAACTTCAATCTTTTCTCCATTTATCATGATGTTATTAATTGGTCCAGTGATGAGAAATTTTGTTTTCTTAACATTGAGGTGCAACCCATACTGAAGACTATGGTCTTTGATCTTCATCAGTAAATATTTTAAATCCTCTTTGATTTAAGCAAGCAAGGTTGTATCATCTGCATATCACAGGTTGTTAATGAGTCTTCCTCCAATCCTGATGCCACATTCTTCTTCATATAATCCATCTTCTCAGATTATTTGTTCAGCATACAGGTTGAATAAGTATAGTGAAAGAATACAACTCTGGCGCACACCTTTCCTGATTTTAAACCATTCAGTGTCCTCTTATTCTGTTTGAACAACTGCCTCTTGGTCTATGGACAGGTTCTTCATGGGCACAGTTTAAGTGTTATGGAATATGCATTCTTCACAATGTTGTCTATAGCTTGTCATGATCTACAAGTCGAAAGCTTTTGCACAGTCAATAAAACACAGGTAAACATATTTCTGATCATCTCTGCTTTCAGCCAAGATCCATCTGATATCAATAATGATATCCCTCATTCCACATGCTTCTCTGAATCTGGCTTGAACCTCTTACAGTTCTCAGCCAATGCACTGCTGCAGCCTGTATAGTACTATATGTGGTTGTTGTTAAAAGTATTATCATGTCAATTTTGATTCATAGTGACCCTTATACTGTTTCTGAGGAGCGGCTGGTACATTTGAACTGCCAGCCTTGCTGTTCTAACTGACCTTGGGGTCCACCGCTTATCCTACAGCACCATACCAGGACTCCATAGTACTGTAAAGTCATCTTTTATGTTTTTAAATGAACAATTTATTGGTCTTGCAAAATTCTATCATGCGATCTTCAGAGTCGTTTCTAAAACCAAAGTCATATTTTCCAACTACTGATCCTTACATAACTCTAAATTTATCAGAAGGAGCCCTAGTGGGTGACCTTTTGGGCTGCTAACTGAAAGGTCAGCAGTTTGAATCCATCAGCAGCTCTGCAGGAGAAAGATGAGGCTCTTGGAAACCCTCTTAAAGATGTATTATTGCCTTTGGAACCAGCTCAGCACACCAACTCAACAGCACATCAGTACAGGATGTGTTAATTCACCTTTACCCAGAATAAAGCCAATTTATTTATTTAGGGAGCTCCTCTGCCAAAGATTGTTTCTTAAGTGCTTTTTTAACCATTTCGTTCTTTAAACATCTCAGAGAGGTAGATTCTATTATCATGTCCATTTTACCAATGGGAAACTAAGGCAGAGAGAAGTGAAGCATGTTGCTCAAGGCGATACAGCTAATAAGTGATGGAAGCAAGATTCTAATTCAAGTTTTCTGACTCCAGAATCTCTGATCTTAACCACCATGCCTAGTTTCCTCCTGCCAATATCAATTATCGTTGTTGTTTTTAGATGCTGTTGAGTTGACTTCGACTCACAATGACCCTTATACACAATATGACCGAACACTGCCTGGTCCTGCGCCATCCTCACAATTGCTGTTACACTTGAGCCCATTGCTGCTGCCACCGTGCCAATCTATCTCATTGGGGGTGGTCTTTTTATAAAAACTGACCCTTGATTCTACCAAGCATAATGTCCTTCTCCAGGGACTGGTCCCTCCTAATAATATGTCTGCAGTATGAGAGACGAAGTCGCGTCCTCTTGACATCTAAAGAGCATTCTGACTATACTTCTTCCAACATCAATCAATAAATCTAGCAAAATGCCAGGCCTGTTTTGCTTCCTGTGTCCTTCTTTCTTCCCCTAACAGCTATGAATCAGGTTTAAGCTGCTCATGATTCTCCCTTCTTTATAGAGAAGGTTTTTTTGGGTGGCTGCAGCATCCATTATAGATAGGGACACTGGGTGTTTCCCAGACATCCCCTCCTCTGTTTGGCTCGATTCCTGGAATTACTACAATATTAGTTTTGACTCAGTGTCAGTAAGCTGGCCCTGAGGACTGAAGAATTTTGGTAGAGGAAGAGATGGAGGTGAGAGTTTGAAAGTTTTGAACAGGGGGCTCCCGGATTGGGGAGCTTACTGGAAGTGGGACTAAACATCCCTGGATGCTCACTCAGTTGTTCTGTCAGTGAGGCAACCTGTGAACAAGCATTTACCAGGTGGCATCTGTGCCAGGCTCTGATGTCTATTTTGAACGGGCAATGCCACTTCCCTGCTCAGAGGGGTTCCCTGTTTTGAGCAGTAATGGAGAAAAAGGAAACTGCCAATGGCCAAAGCATATCACTTCGTAGAATTGTTATCAGGTACCATAAGAACCCAGAGCTTTGAGGCCTTTCCCCCCCCCCCCAGTAGATTTTGCCCCAGGGAGATTTTAGGGCAAGCTCTCTATCTATTGTTCAGATGATAGTGGGAGATGATAGGAAGAGGGAACAGCCTGGGCAAAGACCTGGAGAGCAGGTAAAAATCAACTATGTACATATTTACCTGCTGCTGTTGTTCAGTGCTGTCAAGTTAATTGTAACTCATAGTGACCCTGTATAGGGTTCCCAGGGAGTGGCTGGTAAGGAGACATCAGCAATGACGTCAGATGGACCTTGCTCAAGCCAACCTTGCAATCCTAGTGCATTAACCCACAGCGCCACACCAGGACTCCGATATCTACCTGGATGTGTGGAAATGTATGAAAAGCTGCAAGGTCTGGTGTTAAAGAATCTTTAAATAACTGACCAGTGCCTTCCACCATCCTTAGAATAACACCCAGACCTCACTGTGCCCTGAAAGGTTCTGTTCATACAGCCATTCTCACCTCCCTCTGTTGTTGTTGTTAAGTGCCGTTGAGTCAGTTACAACCTAAAGTGACCCTGTATAGGGTTTCCAAGGAATGGCTGGTGTGTTTGAACCACCGACCTTGAAGTTCAAACTGGCTTTGCAGTCCAGCGCATTAACCTACAGAGACACACCAGGATTCGCTTTCTCTCCATATATATATATAGTGTTCTTCTTTACAATTTGAATACCTTTTATTTCTTTTTCTTTCATAATTGCTTTGGCCAGAACTTTAGTACAATGTTGAACAGTAGTGGTGATGGTAATTATCCTAACCCAGGAGACATCAGCAATGACGTCAGATGGACCTTGGCTGAAAGCACAGTATCCCAGAAAGATGTTTGCTTGTATTTTATTGATTATGCAAAGGCATTTGACTGTGTGGATCATAGCAAACTATGAACGACATTGTAAAGAACTGGAATTCTAGAACACTTAATTGTGCTCATGTGGAACCTGTATGCAGATAAAGAACAGCAATACTGAGTGGTTTAAAACCAGGAAAGATGTGGGTCTGGATTGCATACTTTCACCATAGTTATTCAATCTGTATGCTGAGCTAATCATCTGAGACGCTGAACAGTATGAAGAACTTGGAATCAGGATTAGAGGAAGGTTCATTAACTACCTGAAATGTGCAGAGGACACAACCTTTCTTCCTGAAAGGGAAGAGGACTTGAAGCATTTACTGAAGATGAAAGAATACAACCTTCAATATGGATCATAACTCAGACAAAACAAAAATCCTCAACAATTAGACTAATAAACAACATCAAGATAAACAGAAAAGATTGAAATTGTCAATGATTTCCTTTTACTTGGATCCACAATCAACACTCATGGAAGCAGCAACCACTAACTAGTACCCTTAGCTTCACCAAATACAGGGAGGTCTTGTCCTAGGTGGAGCTGGGGGAACTTGTGAGTTGGGCAGTTCATGTGAGATAAGAGTGGAGTCAGTGTGGTAAAGTTGCGGGATAAAGTGTGGGGTGGGGCTGGAATTGCAAAGTTGTCTGTGTCGCAGAGTTGGGGGGTCAGGCCCTGTGAAGTGGGGATAGAGATCCAGATAATAGGGTTGGGTCGCCCTGTGTGCAGCAGGGATGGGTCGGGGTTGGAGAATTGGGGCCTGGGAGAGGCAGGGTTGGGTGCCCACAGGTATCGGTGTCTGTGTCCCCAGGAGGAATCGGTGGCCAAGGATGCTGCGGGGTCCCACGAGCCGAGGCTGGGTTTCCAGAGCGGAGGGCTTGGCGGCGGACCCCGGGCGCCCCCTAGCGGCTCCGACCCCCACACCGCCGCCGCCGCCGCGTCTCCCACAATGCTCGCGTAGCCCAGCTTCGGCTACCGTGGCGGCGGCGGCGGTGGCTCCAAGATGGCGCAGACGATCTTCGAAGCCCTAGAAGGTGAGCAGCCACAGGGCCGTGAGAGGCGGCTGTTCCGCGTAGCGCCCCTCCCGCCGCGTCCTCCCAGCGCGGGGCCCAGGGCTCGCGGCGGCCGCAGGGCGGAAGGCCCCGGGCCCGGAACAGCCGCGGGGCGGGAGGGGTGGATGGGAACAGCCGCGGGAGCTGCGGCCGGCGGGAGGGCAATAAGACTGGAACAGCCCAGGGAACCGAGGCGCGGTGGCGGGAGGCGGGGGACAGGGCCGGAACAGCCCTGGGAGCCGAGGCGCGGCATGTGGGGAGGGACAGGGGGTGGGAACAGCCCTGGGAGCCGAGGCGCGGCGTGGGGTTCGGGGCCAGAACTCCTCTGGGAGGCAAGGCCCAGCTGGGGACTCTGGGACCGGAACAGCCCAGCCTAGAGGCCCTCGGCCCGGCTCGGGGTGTTTCTGGAGCGAAGCGCCGAGGGGTGGGAGAGGGAAGGACGTATGGAGGGAGTGGGGGGGGGGGAGCAGGTCGGGATTGGAAGTAGTTGAAAGCCTCTCCTAGGAGCTAGGGGGCCCCGAACACCTGCGGGGCAGAAGGTGGTTGGTTGGTGAACTGTTCGCCCAGACCTCGATGAACTTCTCTTGAGCTCCAACATTTGTGTATCCCGTAATGGGGTGCACACTCTTAAATTCACAAAGGAATAGAAAGGTGCCACCCGTGCTCCAGACCCAAAGCAACAAACACTGGGTTCCAACCAACTGTCTTGTGCTCTGCAAGACCCTGGGATAGGGTGACCCACAGAATCATAGAATTGTGGGCCCTGGAGGCAGCAAACAGGAAGGCCTGAGTGTGCACCTGCTAGCCCTCAGGGAGGAAGCGTAGGCAGCCTGAGGAACTTTAGGGGTATGGCATAGAGCAGACCTTGGGGGAAGTACAGACAGTACTTGGCAGGACAGGGGTGAGCACACACAGACTATTAGAGTGCAAATAAAAAGTGGGCATAACTGACGTTTTGTAACGGAGTCTTCTGAGTTCATTAACTCCTTTTGAGATTTCAGCCATAGATCTTCATTTCTTGGAGGATCAGAGTTCTTACCATGAAATAGGGTACCCCAGTTTCTGGGACTGTACACTGAACTAGGTAGAGCGTCTACCTCACAGTCTGGAGGAGGAGAGCTAGGCATAACAGAACAACCAAACCATTACTGCTGAATTGACCCTGACCTCTTGTGACCTTATGTGTGCAGAATAGAACTGTGTTCTCTAGGGTTTCCAAGGCTGTGACCTTTTGGAATCAGATTGCCTGACCTATTGTCCCAGGCACCTCTAGATGTGTTTGAACTGCCAACTTTGTGTTTGTGGTTGAATGCAAACTGTCTGTGCTACCTAGGGACCATAGAACTTAGGGAATTACAGAAAATGTAAGCAGTAAAAGCTTCCTGCTATAAAGTGGGATGTGGAGGGCCACAGTCAGTGGTGGTTACCACTGGCAAGGGCGGCAGGATGGGATATGACCTATTTTCTCTACGTCCTTGGACTTATTCATTATTTGAATTTTTTTCTATAAAGTGTATTGAATAGTGACGAAGTTAATAGACAAAAAACATTTCCTGGGACAGTAGGGTGTGTGTTTTAGGCTTGGGGGGAGGGGCAGTCAGGCTGTGGGAGTCCAGAGATGACTGGGAAAGGAAGGAGATCAGAATGACCCAGGCAGAGGCAACTGTGATTGCAAAGTCCTAGGGAGAGATGGGCCTCCTAGGATTCAAAGCAGTTGATGTAACAAAACTTTAGGTCTCTACAGATTGGATGTTGTTAAGTGCCGTGGAGTAGGTTCCAACTCCATAGTTTCCAAAGAGTGCCTGATGGGTTTGAACCACCAACTTTATGGTTAGTAGTCCAGTGTTTATCCTACAGTTCCTTACCAGGATTTTGGTATGATCCTAAATTTTATCAAGGGACCATCATGGAGCGAAGGAAGGATTTTCAGCAGGGGAACAACATAATGTGATGTGTGTTTTATGAGTTCACTTTAGCTGCTCTAGGAAAGCAGTGGGAGGTGAATGAGGTGGCTGTTGCAGGTGTCCAGCTGAGAATTGAGGTAGCCTGGACCAGGGCCAGCTGTGGGGATGGAGAGAAGGTGGATTTGAGAAAGACTTGGAAGGTAGAATAGACCAGACTTACTAAAGGACTTGAAATGAGGGGCTTGAAGGCTATTGAGGGAAGAATCAAGGAGGACCCCAAGGGCTGTGACTGGGTGGACAGTACTGCCCTGTCCTTGTTGATATTGATGACGAGTCCTGGAAGACAAGTTAAGGTTTATAGACAAGATCATCAGTTTTACATTCAACAAGTCATTCACTTTGTTTTGACTCAATGATTACAATCTCCTCCATGTAACAACAGTTACCCAGCTTCCTCTCTCTGGTTCGTATTTCCATTCCGCCCATGTTCCCATCCCTTCTCAACTTGGTCCTTAGGTAAATGTTGCCCTTTTGGTTTTGAATGATGAGCCTTTCCTTGGTGAACATACCCTTACTAGTGTTGTTGTCCCCCCTATATCCCTATCCCTATCTACTGCTTGGCTAAAAATTGGGCCACGAGGGTGTGTTCCTTTCCAGATCTGAAGGGTGGTGGAGGGCCAGAGTCTCAGGTTCCTGTAGTCTCTTTATAACCAATAAGCCCAATTAAAAAAAACAAAAAAATTTGTATCTTGTTCGACATTTTCTCCCACTCTGTCTGGGACCTTCTAAAGTGACCCCTTTCAGAGCAGTTGGTAGTGGTAGCCAGGGACCTAGTTCTTCTGGTCTCAGAGGCCAAGCATCTTCATTTCTCACCACTCTTTTTTTTTTCTGCAATGGAGAGAACAATAAGCTACACTTTAGGTGACTGCTCATGAGCTTTTAAGTTCCCAGATGCTACTCACCAAAGTAGGATGTAGAACTTTGTCTTTGTAGACTATGGTATATCAGTTGACTGTGATGTCTCCTGATACTATGGTCCGAACCCCCAGGACCAAGCAGTTCATTGACTTAAGATGTTTCATAATACCTAAGAAACTTTCATCATTTTGCCTGCTATATACTCCCCCACAGTCATAGTTGTGTTTGCAGAAAACGTAAATGTTGTTGTTATGAACAGGTGGGTTTGAACTGCTGACCTTGTGGTTCGTAACTCAGTGTTGCATCAGAAGTCCCAGTGTTCGTTACTGCCAGATATATGTGGTTCATACACATAATAATTGAATAATAGATTTTTTATTATTGTAAATGTGAAATATTGCATAATCCGATAGTCGATAATTGAGGAGTATTGTTTTCGAATTGGATCCGGCCCAACACGACCCTGTATAAACTCCAAGGAGCACCAGGTGAGTTTGAATTGCTGATCCAGTGCGTGAACCCACAGCACCACACCAGAACTTCACACCTGAAATAGGTATGTCATAATTCAAGGAGATACAATATATCTTTTACTTTTCCCTCCCCGCCCCATTGTGAATCCTGGTGTGGCACTGTGGGTTAATGTGCCAGACTGCAAAGCCGTTTGAACTACAAGGTTGGTGGTTCATGCTTACCAGCTGCTCCTTGGAAACCCTATACAGGGTCGCTATAGGTCGGAATCAACTCTACAGCACTTAACAACAACAACAACCCCCACTGTAAATCTGTAGTGTTTATTTGACAAAACTATAGTACACTATTGTAGCCAGAATATTGGCATTGATACAGTTACCATAAAGAACAGTTCCATCGCTGCAAACTGTTGCCCTTTTGTAGCTATACCCTCCTCTCCTTCCTCCCCAGTGTCCCTGGCAACCACTAATCTGTTGTCCATTTCCAAAGTTTTGTTACATCAAGTTGTTGTTATTAGATGCTATTGAGTTAGATCTTGTTGAGTGGGTTATGACCTATAGTTTCCCTATGTACAACACAATGGAACCGCCACCTGGTCCTATGCCAGCCTCATAATTGTTGTTACATGAGCGTACTGCAACTGCCACTGTGTCAGTCCACCTCGTTGAAAGGGGGGGGGGGTCTTCCTTTTTTTCACAGACCCTCCACTTTACAAAGTATGATGCCCTTCTCCAGGAACTGGTCCCTTCTGATAATATGTCCAAATTATGAGAGATGAAGTCTTCTCATCTGACTTGTAAGGAACATTCTGGCTGTCTTCTCCTAACACAGATTTTTGTTGTTCTTCTGACAGTCCATAGCATCTTTAAAATTCTTCTCCAACACCATAACTCATATGCATCAATTCTTCTCTGGTCTTCTGTATTCATTGTGCAACTTTTGCATATGTTTTCTTTTTTAAAGTTTTACTTTAATAAAATTTATATAATAAAACATTGCATTGGAACTATTTTAAATGATTTATTTTATATTTAATTAAAGTTGTTTTATGCTTAATTGTAAAAACTTATTGAGAATACACACAGCAAAACATACACCAATTCAACAGTTCCTACGTGTATAATTATTAACATTGATTACTTTCCTCAAGTTGTTTAAACATTTTCGTCCACCTTTTCTGAGATGTAGCGCCCTCATAAACATAAACTCACTGCCCCCTAAGGTTCTTGTCTAATCTTTTGGGTTGTTATTGTCAATTTGATCCCATATAAATAGTTCTTAAAAGAACATAATGCTCAAGACAGACATTTTTCTTACTGGTTAAAATAAACTACTGTTTGGTTCTAAGAAGACTTCAGGGGATGTTTTGGGTTTAAGGATTATTTATCTCAGGGCAATAGTTCAGGGCTTCATCTGTCCTTATGGCTCCAGAAAGTCTAGAATACATGAGAATTTGAAATTCCTTTCCCCTTTTGATCAGGATTCTTGTATGAAATATTTGATCAAAATGTTCAGTAATGGTAGCTAGGCATCATCCAGTTCTTCTGATCTCATGACAAAGACAACCATTCCTTCATGTAGGCGGTTAGCCACAGGAGCTATTTCCTCCTATTCCTGACCCTCTATTGCTTTAGGTGGATGGCTGCTTGAAAGCTTTTAAGAACTCAGCATGACGCAAATAAACTAGGAGGTAGAACACAAACACTAAATATGTTGTTAGGTTAATTCACTGAAATGCCCTATGAAACCATAACCCTAACCCTCCAAACCAAGGAACCAAATCCTATGAAGTATTTGGCTATACATAAGCAGCCTCAGAATCTACCTCTTTTTCCCCACTGTACAGGGTCGCTATGAGTCGGAACCGACTCCACGGCACTTAACAACAATTGTTGTAAATATTTCGATCACAAAAATTGTACCAGGTCAATTTTTTGTGGGTATACAATTTACTGACAGCAATTACAGGAATCGACTTGCAACCTTCCTCTTTGTCAGTGTGATTTTTCC